GTTCGTTCGTTTATCATGTATATGAAGGTAAGGGACGCACTATAATTAATGAGGATAATGGTGAAGAGACGNTCTTGAAATGGGATAGAAACGACACATTCTGTATTCCATCGTGGAAGAATTTCAAGCATGTGAATGAAGGCGACGATGTAACCTATCTTTTCAGTTTCTCTGATTCACCATTACTTAAGAATTTAGATATTCACAGATCTAAATAGTTTTCTCAATCAATTAATTTGATGCATTACTGTATGATCAGTTTATATAATCTTTATACGCTTATATACAAATACAATTTTATTTCCCATTGGAACATTAAGTCGAACAATAAACTGGTAATTTTGTATATAGGAAGTATGAATCAATATGCGAGTCTTCGGTAGTGTACATCTACCATATACAAAATAAAGCGGAACAAGTATCCGAAACAAAATCATTGCGTCTAATAATAAATACAAGAGACTTTCCTAGTTTTACTCACGCAGCTATTAGTCAATATGCTGGAAATAAAGAAAAATACCAGTGGTGATAACAAAACTAAGAGACGAAGAGTTGCTCTGGCGTGTGAAGGCTGTCGCCAAAGAAAAACTCGTTGTGATGGGATTCAGCCGACATGTGGAATATGTCAAAAAAGGAAGATNCCTTGCGTATATGGAAAGCGATATACAAGAGCGCACGTAAGTGTAGATTATGTTAAGAGCTTAGAGGAAAAATTAGGTATATTGTCAAATGACCGCAAATCTAATTATTTTGATCNTTCCCCATCGCACAGCATAAAAGAAAGCCCACATGATGAAGATGAAGACGAAGAAAATAATGAAGATTACGAGGAAATAGAAAATAAATCTAATAGAGGCTCTGAAACTAATTCTCATATAATAGTTTCTTACCCCGATTCTGTGGTTTCTGAAGCTCAATTCTCACCCGGTATACAACGACAAAATTCCAGATTTAATCAAACTGAAAGTTCTGAAAATTCAACGACAGATGCAATGGGTGCAGGCTCAGGAACAAACCCGAATGTGAAAAATAAAGATAAGAGTTT